CATTTCGCGCCCCGTCAAGAGTCTCTTTTCATTCTGGGCGTCGAACTCCATGCGCTGAATCTGGTGAAGGAAGTGATTGTGATGAACAGAAAGACTGCAATTCCTACGCATCTTGTTAAATTTCTCAATCAAGTTAGTGGCGATCATGATGTCGAGGCGTCGGAAGCGGCCTGGGTCTCTAAGTTGTTCTTTAGCCACGGTGGGGTCCATGGTTTCCATGATCCAAAGCTGTGCCTCCTGAGTCTCAGGAGACGATCCAGCCACAGCGCGGACGGCATGCATCTGCCACTCCCGTATGTTTGTAGCATCGGGAATGTCCATCAGATCAACCTTTTGGTTATTGCCAACCTGTCTCCATTGGTCCAGAGGAGCACTCTCGTCAAGACCTCCCGGGTCATTGGGCCCACCTGGGCCCTGAGGTCCGCCGCGACCGCCTCCACCGCCTGGGGATCCAGGACCCCCCGGACTCCCTGGAGGCGGCTTCCCTGATTGGTCTTGGGCGGCATGGGCAATTCCGCACAAGAATTCGGTACTTGGTGCGGTACTATGATCACCCCCATCATTGCTCTGCCCTGCCCCGCCAGACGGCGTGGCCGCTGGCGTGCTACCCTTGCCTCCACCCGGCGGCTGGGCCGTTGGCGGCCTCGCTGGTCCCGCCTGGGTGAAAGGGTGATAGTTAATAAGGGTCATGTCGTCAACAGCGCCTGGCAACTCGGCATTGAAGGGTACATTGTTCCCGGAGATGCCTGGCTTGGCTGGACCTTCGGTGGCAGGACCAGGAACAGTGAAATGGGGTTGCAAAGCTGGCCTGATGGGCGTCCCCTGCGAAAGCTGGGGCACATCGAACTGATGAAACTTGGGCATGTTGCCCAACGCTTTCTCCATAAATTGGAAGGATTCCATGCCCGTGGTCTTTGTCATCTCTTTTGCCATTTTTTCCAAGGCCGCCCCCCGGTCAGCTGCTTGCGATCGAGACCACATATGCTGGTCTTTCTCTTTCAAGGATTCAGCGATGGCAGCCCTGAACTCCATCGCCTCTTTCTCTGATGCAGCTGCGCGGGCCAACGCTTCTTCTTTATCACGAAGGTTGGCGGCTGACTTTTCCGAACTCAATCGACGCTGTTCCTCAGCTTGCTCTTTCGTCCTCTGCATGTTACACTTGTCAGCGTAAGTATCATCGCAGAGCTTCTGCTGTTGGGGCCAAAAGGTTGGGTCTAGCGCTGTCTCGCTTCCACTGCTCACCCCACTCCGCCTGTTCCACGGGCAAACTCTTTCGTCGGGCGCACGCGACGCAACGCTTCGCGTTCATATCAAAGTGGTCTTTGCAACTGGGTGACCCGCAAATGGCGCATAATCCGACCTTTGGGTTTGCTCATAATGAACGACTTTCGGCGGGGCCCCCTCTCGCGAACTGAGGCTGCTGGGCAGCCCTCACACGCAGCAATGGCGGCATTCCGCCCTCTGGAGGCGCCGAGCAAGGCCGAGCCTGCGACGACGTGGCACCAGACGGCTGGGCCGCCGGCGACGGTCGTCTGCTCGCCCCTGCCGGCTTGGCCGGCGGGCGCGCTTCGTCACCTGATTGCATCTGTCGAAGCGATGCCCTAGGGTGTTCATGCATCTTGAGCTCCTCTCGATATTGCTTTTTCTGGTCAACCATCGTCGCAGCCATAAACTGTGCGTTGGCCGCTTCCAGCCTGGCAGCACAAAGTTGATATTGGAGCTCCTTCCTTTCATGCTCTGCCTATGGCTACTGCGGCCCTCTCCCCTTCTAGCCTCGCCACCGCAACAGCGGCGCAGGCGGACTTGGCGTTCGCAGCTTGACTGCGCACCGCCAGGGCAGCCCGTCGCTCAGAAGATAATGTCTCAACAATCTTGTTCTCAGCTTCTTCCGCACGCTGCTTGGCAGCCACGGTCTGAGAGGGCATTTGTGCTATCAAATCTCGTTCTCGCCGACTGGCAGCTTGGGCCATGGCAAGCCTGCCAGCCTCGAACTTCTTCTGAACGTCGGCAATAACTGCATTCATCTTTTCTCGATCCAGCCGGGCCTGTCCGGCCCTCTGGGCTTCTAAGGCCATGGTCTCATACTGTCTCTGGGCCTCTGGGGCCCTGGCTTCTTCCTGCATAGCTTGGGTCAAAAGATATTGACAGTTATGTTCTATCTGGATGCAGTCCTCACACAACCATTGATTGCCGCACTTGGGGCACACGCTGGAACAATATCCACGCACTGGGCGCCTACAAGGCCCCCCGTTTTGTGGGCTTTCCCCGGGCACCTGTTCTCCGCCTGGGGCGGGCAACTAGGGCCCGGGTTCCAGCGCGCCTCGCGCATGGAAATGGCACTGTTGCTCCTCGAAGTCGATCGGGCACCAGATCGTGGGATCTTGGGCCGCCCCCTGCTCGAAGCAGACGATCGAGGGCGAACGCGTGTGCTCTCCGGTGGCTTGGCCACCTCGCGGAGCGCCTCATCCCGTTCATCCTGTGCAAACAACTCCGGGGGTGTGACTGGGGGGTCAAGCGGGTCATCATCCTCAGCTACCGCGGGGACCGACGGGCACGAAGTTGGGAACTCGATGCAACCTCTGCCGCCTGGGGCGGGACCTCACCGATTGAGAGAACGGGGGACGGTACCGGTGTCCCCCATGGCTCGTGTACCGCTGGGACCTCGCGGACTAGGTCGCTGGTCGTCATGTCTACATCTGGTTTCGCAAATGCCTCCCCAAGAGCTTCCAAGTGATCGTAGTCAACGGTCTCCTGTCCTGGGGATGACCTTCCGTCTGGGACGGGACAGTCGGCAGCGTTCAACAGCGGCAGAACTTGGCTTGGGGACATCTCGTACGCGGCATACTCCATGTCAGCTTCCATGGAGTTGACATCGTCTTCGTCATCACACTGTTCGTCGCTGTCTTGACCGGGCTGCCCGTTCAAGGCGATCGGAATGGGGTGAGTCCCGGGCGGACGACCCCAACCGTCTGGGACGGCGGGGAGCGCGCCGCTGGACTCCTCCACGATTCTCGGCCGACTGGCTGGGCCAGCGGCTGGCTCAGCAGAATGTACGGCCATCGGGCTGGAATCTACCGTTTCTGGGGACTCTGCAATCCAAGATGAGAAGGCTCGTCGCCTGGCGTTCACGGCTGGGCCGTTCCGCCTCATCGGGTCCGGGGTCTGATCACGTTCTCTGATCGGAGCACGAATGGGAGAATCATATGCAGACATATCTACGACTTCTCCAACAACTCCTCCATGATGATCCCGAATGAGGTTAGAAGAGGTAAGAGAGCGGCCCTCCCCTGGGCCGCTGTCCTGTTTTTCTTGCCCGTCTCGATGCACATCGTGTAATCTCGCGGGCAATTCGGCTGTCTCATCATAGCTCGATCCCATAGCCACTTGGTCGCGGGTTTCGGCTGAGAGCCAGTCTCTCCTCTGAGAATCGGGGTAAGGTGCCAAAGGAATTAAGGTATCGTGATCAATACGGTCAGTAGTAGAGGATTTGGGACGAAGCATCGATGAAACAATATGTTATCCGTATAGCAAATGCAATCAAGTATGGTAAGGGAGAAGGCCGGCCAGAGGCGGACGACGACACGAGCCGCGCGCGAGCCCCCGGCGCGCTCCTTTTATCACTTGATCAGCACTCAGCTTCAGTATAACAAGTAATGTCAATGATGTACAAGTAAGGCGGCAGCAGAGGCACATAATGATGAGGCGGAGAGGAGCATATTTACTGCATCAGCATCAGCATCAGCATCAGCATCAGCATCATCAGCACCATCATCACCATCATCATCTGAGTCAGCATAAGCATCAGCATCGCCATCGCTATCATCGTCAGCATTTGCATCACCGTCATCCCCATCATCATCACCATCACCATCAGCATCATCACCAGCATCTTCATCAGCATCAGCATCAGGATCGGCATCAGCATCATTATTACCATCAGCACCATCGGCATCAGCATCAGCATCAGCATCGACATCAGCATCACCAGCAGCACCATCATCACATGAATCAGCATCAGCATCAGCATCAGCATCGCCATCACCATCATCATCATCATCAGCATCACCATAATCGCCATCATCAGCATCAGCATCAGCACCATCATCATCATCTTGGACATCGACATCGCTATCAACATCATCACCATCACCATCATCATCAGCATCATCATCACGATCACCATCGGCATCAGCATCATCATCAGGCTCAGCATCATCATCATCATCAGCAGCAGCCTCATTATCTGCATCAGCATCAGCATTAGAGCATCAACATCCTCAGTATCAGCATTCGCATCACATCAGCATAATCATCATCATCATCATCATCATCACCATCACCATCAGCATCAACAACAGCATCAAAATCACCATCATCATCAGTATCATAATCACCAGTTCCATCATCAGAATCAGCAGCAGCAGCATCAGCATCAGCATTACCACCATCAGCACTATCATCATCATCCGCACCATGATCAGCATCAGCATCAGCATCGCCAGCAGCACCATCGGCATCACATGAGCCGCATCAGCATGAGCATCAGTATCAGCATCAGTATCACCATAATCATCAGCATCAGCACACGCATCATCATCAACAGCAGCACCATCGGCAGCAGCATCATCAGCATCAGCATCAGCATCAGCAGCAACAGCATCATCATCATCATCACCATCAGCATCATCATCATCAGCATCAACACCAGCATCATTGTCACCATCATCACCATCACCATCACCATCAGCCTCAGCATCATCATCATCATCATCAGTACCACCATCACCAACATCAGCATGAGCACCAGCATCATCATCACCATCATCACTAGCATCATCATCAGAATCAGCATCAGCATCAGCAACAGCATCGTCACCATTACCATCATCATCGTCCTCGACATCGGCATCGTCATCAGCATCAGCATCAGCATCATCAGCATCAGCAACATCGGGATCAGCATCGTCATCACCACCACCACTACTCATCCTCACGGCGTCCTCCGCGGGAGCGCCTTCGGCGGGCGCCTCGCCGCGGGGCCGCTGGCCCCAGCGGGGCTGGCCGCGCGGCGCGCTGCGCGCGAGCGCGCCGAGCTCCCGCGCCTCGGCCTCGTACACCGCCCGCAGGGCCTGGGGCAGGGGGAGGGGCTCCGCGGGGCGGGCGCCTGAGGGCCAGGGCCTGTCGTCGTCGTCGTCGTCGTCGCTGTCGTCGTTGGTGTCGGCGTCGTCGTCGGCGTCGTCGTCGGCGCCTTCGGGGTAGTGAGGCCCACGCTCGACTCAAGCTGGAAGCGCTTGAACTGGGTAAGGATTCGGACTTTCTCTGGGGATGCAGCGGGTCCTGGTCTCTCCTCCCTTCTCCTCCCTCACCTTCTCGCTCCTCCCTCGTGTCCTCTCCCTCCTCCCCGCCTGCTGTGGAGGCGGGTTGCCGCAGGACGGGGGATGCTGCTTTGCCTGCCGAGGGGCTTCGCGGTCGCGCACTCCTGTCGCTCTGCCCTGCTGCTGGCTGATATTGCGCGCGCGCTGGCAGCAGGGCACCCAATCTGCCGTCAAGGACCATCAGGCTGCACAACGACTAAAAACGAAGATCAGCCTCCCACCCGAGAAAGCCCCAAGAGGATGGGAGGGTGATGGGGGGAGGAGGAACGGGGAGGAGGGAGGAGATGTCGTTTGGCCTCCACGGCAACTTCGCCAGCCATCTTGGCTCCTGTAGTGAGGGAAGATGAGGGAGGGGGAGGAGGGAGGAAGGACGGCGAGGAAGGACAGGGGCGAAGGCCAGGGGGATGAGAGAGGACGGGGGGGCGATGAGGGACCAGGAGGAGGGATGGGATGAGGGGCGAGGAGAGAGGGTGACGGGGTAGGGTTTTTACAGTGCACCGCTGACACCCAGGCTCCAAGGGCAGGAAAAACCGCCAGGGACTTACCGCCAGGGCAGGGAATCGTCCAGCCGAGGAGACGATAGCGCTGGATGGCGGAAGGCCTTTAAAAATCCGCTGATATATTTGCAGCTGAGCATTCGTGACAATACGTATGGGGCCCGTGCGAAACCGCGGGGAGGAGGGACGGGACGGGGGGAGGAGGGAGGATGGAGCAGGGACGGGGAGGAGTGAGTTGGACCAGTGCAAACCCCAGACGCATCATCGATGTTGCAAGTAACCCCTCCTCCACATTCTTCATAATCAGAGAATGGATGGATTCGGCTTGTGTTCGGGATCCGTTTTTTTGCTATGTATGGGGCCGAGGGGACCAGGTGTACAGCGACGACGACAACGACGACGAGGGCGCCGAGGACGAGGGGGAGGAGGAAGAAAACGACGAGGGGGCGGAGGGCCAGCACCCCCATCCGTCCTCTCGGCCCAAGCCAAGAGCAAAGGCAGAACAAAGACACGCATCGGAGTCACATTGGAGCCATATTGACACAATCTTGGGGTCGTCAACTAGGGTTTGAAAAGATCATCTTGGGGCAAGATCGAATTCGTCTCGGGCTCATGGGGTCGTCCCGGGGCCACCTAACATGGGGGTCACGCGGTAGCCTTAGTTCAGCCGGAAGACAATGAGTTCGTCTCGGTGTTCTCTTGGGGCCGCAAGGCTCTGGGGTCACATTGGGGCTATTGCTTTGGGGCGACAGGGGTAATCTCGTGATTATTTCAAAAACCCCGCTGGGTCCATCTTGGAATCATCTTTCCGTTGCGGCCTCTCTCGTTGTTGTCGCTACAGATGTTGCTGGTGCTGCCCGGGCTGCCCTGGTGCTGGTGCTGGTACTGTATGAAATTTCGGGCCCTCTTGGAGCCGTCTTGGGGCCCTCGCGGGGCCCTCCTGGGCCTCTTGGGGCCCTGCGGGAGCCCTCTGACTGCCCTCACGGGGCTTCCGAGAGGGCCAAGAATTCAAAACACATTTAACACAAACCGCCTCCTTATTGAAGAGCGTCTTGTGAACAAATTGTGTTGAACAATTGGGTCCTCTTGGAAACATATGAGGCCCTCTTGGAGCCCTCTGAGGGCACTACGAGGCCTCCAAGAGGACCAAGAACCCAACGCACATTTAAGACAAACCGCCTCATTCTTGGCGAGTGTCTTGTGTCAGGTTTGCGTCAAATTATGGGCCTTCTTACAAAGCCCCAGAGAGGCCCAAGAGAGACCCAAAAAGGCCCCAAGAGAGGGTTTTTTGCTAGCTTCCTCGCGGGGGGGTCATCATGTATCTGCTCTTTGTACAACTGCTTCCTCTTGCGGGGCTCGGCTTGAGATTCGGGGGGCCTTCAGGAGGGTTCCAGCCTGAGGTATCCAAGGGCTTAGCGTGAGCTTCAAGTGCGATTTCGCTGCTCCAAGAGGGCTCCGAGACGGCCCCAGAGCGCTCCAAGACGCTCACAATGGCTTGCAGACGGCCAAAGAGACCCTGCAGACGCCCCCTGGGGGCTCCAAGAGGACCCCCCAGGGGCCCCAACAGGCCCAAACCAAAGTTGTTCAATTGTTTTTGAAGGATTTTAGCGTTTTCACTTTTTCGGGGT